CTTGCCCATCCTCTCGGAGTTAAAAGTTCCATGCAAATGGCTCCGCCCTCCATAACAAATCCTTTGTCTATTTTAGGTGTTATAACTCTTATGAAGGGTGGAGCAAATGGGAAATTTTCTGGGAAAATCACGTGGAAAAGTATGGATTTGATACCTAATTCTTTCATATCGGCAGCCAATTCGCTTTCGACGTCTAATTTATAAAGTTGAACATGCCATTCGAACAAATTATCGTTAACTAATTCGACAGTGAAAACGGGATCAAAAGAATTTAACTGTTGTAATTTTTGAACGTCTTTTAATTCTTTCATTAATCTTTTAGCTCTGACTTTTAATTGATGACCGCCGCCATTGTTTCCAACGGATTGTTTACCTTCTCCCATATCTTGTCCCGACTTAACATTCGAATTCGTATTATTTTTTTTAAATTTAAAAAATCTCACGTATTTTTTAGCATTTATTGGACTATTTGTTGGCACATCAGCGGGCTGTACGTGATCTCTATGAAGACCGTGACGAAGGAGTCTTCTGGCTGGTGATTCATTTTTCGAACCACTCGAACTACTACCACTTACTCCCACAACTCCTATTCTTCCTTCTCCACCACCTCCTACTCCTCCTCCTACCCCTACTCCTCCTTTGACATTTTTTTCCGGTGATTCTCCTCCTAATTTTACAGACGAACAAAAAAGTTTACGAAAAACGGCTGCCATTTTTCTTTATTTTTTTTTTTTCGTCATAAGTATTTGTAATTTTTTTTTTTAAGTCATTGAATTTTTTTTTGTTATTCTTCGACACTTGACCTAAAATCAAAAAAAAAAAAAAAAAAAAAATATCCACTTAATTCAACAGTAAACATTTACTACTAGTTTATTGATTTTTAAATTATTTTAAAATTTTTTGTCGTGTAATAACAAACGCAACAACAACAACAACAACAACATTGTGAAAAGCAGACATTTACTTCCGGTTGAATCAAACCGGAAGTAAATTCTTAACAACCAAAACCTACAACAACAATTTTCTACAACAATTCATCATCAATTACAAGATAAGAATTTTATTTTAGACCGGAAAAAAAAATTACAAAATGAAAAATGGAGGAAGAAGAAGAAGAAGAAGAAGAACAAGTTGGAAAATTTTTAAATGTTTATCGGGTTTTCCGACATCAAATTTTTTTTTTTTTTCGTTACATTTAAAACGTAAGGAACAAAAGTATAAAAACTAATAAAAAAAAAAAAAAAAAAATGATTACGTAAATGTTTAAACGGTAACATCATAAATTTTTTTTTATGTTACGAACATTGTTTTGTTATATTTCAACAAGAGAGTCAACGAACACAACGTTTTTATTTCGTTGGTAAGTCACGTACTCACGCACTTATGCATTTAATTATTTTTTTATTAATGTTTAATACTTTTATTTATTGTAAATTTATTGTAAATTTATTAATTAATAATTTGTGTTTCGTAAAAAATGTTCGCTTTAGTTAAATAACATAAATAAATTTAATTAAAGTGAAAATTTTTATTAATGATAATGATAATTAATGAGAGGGAAAATCAATGAAAATATTTTCTTTGAAGTTTTACATTATATTAAAATAAGTGAAAAATTAAAAAAAAAAAAAATAAATTTATTTATGTATCGATAATTATCGATTTTAATGATAATGATAACGAAATGAAATGAAAAAGTCTCGTGACGTTTACAAGGACGAATTTAAATTTTTTGTCATATAAACACAAAAGAAAAAAAAACATTTTTGTGTTTTTTTTTTTAAATGTTTTTCTTTTCTGTCGTAAATTTTCTTTTTTTTTTGTTCTTATTTAAGTTTACGATCGGATTATAAAAATAATTTAAAATCGTTTGCAACCGAAAAGAAAAAAAAAAATTGATAAAACACGATCGAGAAATTTTATTTTTAAGCCAAAAAAAATTTGGGTTTGTCTTATCATTCCCCCCCCTCTCTCTCTCTCTCGTTTCATTTCCGTTTTATTTACTTATTTTTTTTCGTTGTAAAAAGTAAAATAATAATAGATGGGGGGGGACGGGGGAAATAAGAAAGTGAGTGACGTCATATAAAAAAAAAGAAATTTCTTTATGCGGGAAGTAATAAAAACTCAGCTGGAAGGGTTTTAAACTAATCTAATAATGATAATAATAATAATAATAATAATAATAATAATAATAATAATATGACGAAGACGATAAAAGATTTAATCAAATATTTACCGTGAAATTCATATTGTATAAAAATAATAATGATGATGATGATGATGATGACTTTTTAATAAAATATTATTCGTTTGTGAGAATCGAACGAAAGGTTTCTTTTTATAATATGAAAATTTTGATTTGATTTTTTTTAAATCAATTTATTTAAGGGAGAAATTCGGGATAAAAAGGGAAAAAGTTTTTTTTTATTTTAAATTAAAAATTTTTCTTTATAAGATTTTTAACCCCGAAATAAAATAAAAAAAATTTTTTTATTTTGTTATCGACTTTAGGGGTGATAAGGAAATTAAACGCGTTATCGCAGATATTTGTTAATGTTTTTGCTTTTTTTTCGAGTTAAAATGATTTTGATTATAATTTTGAAAATAATTTTTTTTAATTTTATCGCAAGGTTTTCAAATATTAACCAAAAAAAAAAAAAAAAATTTTTTTCGTTGCTGTTGCAAAACGTGCGACATTTTGATAAGGCAAAATGGCGTGTAATTTTTTTTTTTTAAATTTTTGAATGTTTAATTAACGAATAATGACGATGTGATTTTAATTATTTTTAAAATAATTAAATTTAAATTTTTTTTTGTTTTTATCGAATGAGAATTAATAGAAAAATAAATTAAAATAAAAAAAATTCTGCGCAGAATAATAAGAAAAATTTTTTTTTTTGTCTCATAAAATGTTTTTAACGTAAACCGACGTCGCGAGAGCGCTCTATCAACTTAAATTGTAACTATTTTATCGTCTGCTTTCAAAAACTTGTTTTAAATGGAGTTCAAATTGTAAGTAATCATACATTTTTATTATATTTTTACTTTTTTTAAACGTTTTTTCCACGTCAATTTTCTTTTAAATCGTGTCAAATATTTTATTTAACATTATAATATTATTTAAACGTGATATTTTCGATACGAAACGTTGTAATTAACGTTATTTTAACGGAAAAAAAGAAAATATACATGCATATACATAATTGATCTGTTGTTGTTTATTAATTTTATACAATTTAATATATAAAATTATTAATTTTAAATTAAATACGATTAATTAATTAAAATAATTATAATTAAGTAAGTGATAAAAAAATGGTCGTAAGTATTCGTTATAAAAATTGTTTTAAATAAATAAATAACTGATTGTTTAACGTGAATGTTATTATACATAAAAAAAAAAAAATCTACTTGTTGATTTAATGACGTTTCGTTGATTTTTTTTTTTTTTTTAAAGTAAAATTAGACATTTTTCTTTAAAAAAAATATTAAAATGATAAAATTTAATAAATCAAGTAATTTAATAAATATTTTATCACATCGTAATCGCGAATGATAAATACAAAATAAAAATGATTATAAATAAATAATTTAAACATTACGTAATAACAATCAAATTCATTATTATTATTATTATTACTATTTCTTACAGATAACTTTTCATATAATTATTTATTTTATTTCATTATTATTAATTTATTTATTTTTCTAAACGATCAATTTTCGCAATACAAAAAGAAATTTGTTTTTTTTTCCCCTCCCAAAAATTTATTATTAATAATTATTTTACTTACTACGTCTTCACGTACGGGGATTTTTTTATTTTTTTTATTAAACTATTATTATTATTATTATTAATTTTCGATCTGATAATTGTTTTTAGTCTTCTGCTGTACGAAAAAAAGGATAGAAAAAAAAATTTTATATATCAGTCGAGTTTTCGACGCGTTCTTAAAATTCAACGGTCGATAAATATTAAAAAATTTAAAAAAAAAGAAAAGACAAAAAAAAATTATTATTATTATTATTATTATTATTATTATTATTATTATTGCGGTTATGATGATGGTTATGATGATAATATTATTATTATTAGTAGTAGTAAAAATAAAATATAAATAAGACAATAAAAAAAAAATTTCATTCATTAAATTAAAAAAAAAAAAAAAAAAAATGAAGAGAATAAAGCCCGTAAAAAAAATCCGTTTCATGTTCCGTAAGCTAAATATTAAAATTTTTTATTTTTTATTTTTAAACGAAAACAATTATTATTATTATTATTGACGGCGTCGTCGTCGTCGTCGTCGTCATCGTCATCACCGCCATCAAAATTTTAATTTTTTTTTTTTTTTTTTTTGTTTTGAGAGAGATAGAGAGAGAGAGTTTTGATTGGATTTTTTTTTTTTTTTGAATTTAAACTTTAAAAAATAAAGAACGAATCGGGTAAGGAGAAAATAATTTTTTCTACAGGCACGCTAAAAAAAAAAAAAATTTTTTTTGGAAAACGTAATTTCCGTTTCTCCGCCGCCATTTAAAACGCTTTTTAAATCGAACCTTTATTTATTTTATTTTATTTTTTCTACTAACGCACAATAATTTGGGTGAGGACGCATGCACACACACACACACACACACACACACACACACACACACACGCACACGCACACA